ATACAACTGCACACCTCATTCAAGTTACACTTCTCATATATGTTTATCCACAACATGAGACGATGCTAGAGGAGCTTTACAAATGACCATAAGGATGCTCGCAAGGCAGTTTCAACCTGCAGGTTGTTTAGTCTACCAGTTTACTGCACTCAAATTACAAGATACATCTTTCTAATGACCTTAGCAGAAAACTACATCAGCAAAATCGCTCCTTTCACATGCAACTTGGTAAACGCTGATGGATGGTTAGCAGAATTAAGAAATGTAGAAGCCTCACAACCAAATGAAGTTTTAGGATGGTCAAATTTGATTTGTCCTAAAAACCAATATCATAAGATGGTACTGTTACGACAAAATATTGCTTTTTAAGGCATTCAGATAGCTAATGACATAAGTCTCGGGAGTCATAGATCCGAGGAAAATTACAGATTTCAAACTCAAACATTTTCCATGCTTTGCTACAGCCTAGATAAAGCCGTTATGAAGCCAAAAAAAAAAGCCTCAACCTCAAAACTATTAAACAGCAAACAATAAAACATCCTAACGTATTTTCTTAACAGAACTCTAAAACGAACATGTCGAACTATTAAACAGCCAATATTGTTGCATACAATCACCAATCACAATATAGCGATCAGCACCAACCAGTATCAGTAAATTTTCAAAATCACCCTCTAAGGATAATAGAATTCAACCACAAATTATACCTTACAACCTCATTTAACACAAGAACATCAGCTCAATCAAAACATCCAGATACTTACATATATAACCGCCCATGCTAGCACGCGAGTCAGCAGCTACTATAACACCTTCTTTGAAAATGAAAGCCAAAGTCGTCGTTCCCTTTGCTGGCTTAACCATTTGAACCGATTCTTTCTGAAACCCATCAAACTAGACACAACATCCAACCAGATTTTGTTAAATTAAAAATAAGAAAAACCCAACAACAAAAGAGCAAAAGATACTTATTAAAAAGGCTTACATCATTAGTATTAGGAATCTGAAATTCTGGGGCAGTCGAAAGCCCGCTCAGCAATTCATTAGGGTTTCCCCTCAACAAAGAATTCGGCTCAAGTCCACTGAAGTCAATCTTCATCATTGTCACCTTCGACCAAAAAAATTTCTTTTTGAGCAATCAAACAGAAAATCAAAGATAAACAAACTTTGATTTCTCTCTTTGTCCATCTTTATTCGGCTAAAAGTACAGAAATTACCTAAACTAAAAATTTCTCATGAATTGGATAAAGAAATCAGCCCAATCGTAAAGTTAATTGCGATCAATGACAGTAGGGAGAGCAAGATTTACGTTTTCCTTACCTCTTTGTTGCAGAGAGCAGATAATTGCGGGATAAAAATTTGGCAATTCACCGTGCAACTGCGAATATATTCAAGTTTTCTTGCTCAAAACTCCAGCGCTAATTTAAAGCATTAGAATGGTACGAATAAAATGGGGACCCGGATTCTTAAATCGAAGCGGACTCGTTTTTTTAAAGAAAGAGGGCTCGAGGAGGATTGGATCTGGCGACAGAGTTGGGCTCCACGCACGCACACCGTCTATTAGGCCCACTCGGAAGAGAGATGGGCTGCAATTCATGGAAAGGCAATGGCTAATATGACACGGGCCGGCCATTCTGTGGAAATTTTGGGTGACAATTGGTTTCTGTCAATGCAAGTTAAATACCTTCAGAATTGCGATGATTCGTAAGCAGCATAACAAAAGTTGGTCTTACTAGTTTAACATGGAAAAAAAAAATTATTTTTGCCTGTGTTTGGATAGCAATATTATAACCGAGTTTCAGGAAAAGAGTTGGGTTGGATGGTAAAGAGCAAGGGATTATAGGAGATTTTGACTTTAAACCCTCCCATTCGACCAAAAAAAAAAAAAGGTTCTATGGGATTGGGTACTTTTGCAATTTGGCCTCCTCTATTAGAATAATGAGGAAGCATAATGTTGGAAACAAACCTATATTTTTTCCCCTTTTTTCGTGTAAGGGGGTTTGAGAGTAAATCCTAATTACTTTAGCTTCTTGCATTATTATTCAATATGATTGATGGAATGATCATCATATGATTTCTCTAACAAGTGTCCAGTAGACAACCCTGAACCCATCCATCACTATATGAATTTAAGTCGAAGAAGATGCAACTTCCTGAAGAAGAGTGTTTTTCCAAAATGTTGTAAAATTATGGCCTAGACAGAGGGTTCCCTATTTGAGTTTGCATGAGAATTCCATGTTGGAAATTGAAGGTTGAGAGATACGTCAAAAAATGATTTTGGAGAATTTTGCTATTTTGGAAATTGAGGGCTGAAATATAAATCAAAAATGAATTTGCTGGCTATGGGGTTCGAACCCATGCGCACTTATGTGCAGAAGATCTTAAGTCTTCCCCCTTAACCTCTCGGGCAAACCAGCGGGTGCAAGCTTTTTTTTTTTTATGAGAAATAAAAAATGTGTCCAGAAGTAGCAAATGCCACTACTAACAGTCAGTCATCCAGTACAGCGTTCATCAAACTAGTAAAACGGAGAAAGGAAAAAATCATTGCTTTTGGGGGCCACGCGAGTAATCAAATTAGTAATTCTTACTGTCAGTGGCCACGCAAGACTTTTGCTTCAAAAAAGACTACTGGTACTAAGATAAATTGCGATTTATTAAATGGTTTAGAGACAAATTATTGCGGGACAAATCACTACGACTTTCAGGAGAGAGAGAAAAAATTTTGAATCGAGTAATTGATGGGTGAATATATGTGTGTGTGTGTGTGTGTGTGTGAATATTGAGTTATGACCATTTTCGGTGGATTTTCATGCAAAGAAGGTGCAAGCAACCAACTTTTTTGTAATTGTGGATCACAATTCACATGCATTTGCTGAATCCAACATTATTATTATGTCCTTAATCCACCCAAAAGAAACTGCCCAATCAATGCAATGCAATGCAAATATGCAATGCAACGTACCCCACGAATTTAAACCTCCAATCCAAACGTGTTGTTGTTAGTCTTTGGGGGGGTTTGTTGAGATCAATCAATGCACAACTCATCCATCTGAGGCTCAGAATTTATACCCACAAGAAAACAAAAGCCGAGAGTTCAGTAGCTAATTGGATCGTACGGACACCAACCCTTTGCTTCTTTTGAATTTTGATTGATTGATAAACCAAAAAAAAAAAAAAAAGAGAGAACTGGTGCCAAATGGCAGGCAAATACTACTACTACTACTTATAACAAAATGCTCCTATGTATGGCTTGGCTGGATAATGGATTGGACATCACCAACATGACACTTGACAGGCATGCATGCATGATGATTTTTATCATAACTGCAACGGAAATTCAAATGGAGGGCCACTGATTTGCGAGAATTCAAATATATATATGGGTTAATTACATTTACCTCCCTTGAGGTTTGACCAAATAACGAATCGATCCCTGAGATTTGACCAAATAACAGTCCACCCCTTTGAATAACCAGACATTTAACAATCACCCCCCTACTGTTAAGAGACGTTAGTCATTGTACTTGACATCAGGAAAAAGAAAACTTGGAATGACGAAATTGCCATTTATTGTATCCAGCTGTAATGAAGATTAATTATAGTTCCGAAAATACCCTTTTCATTAAAAATATATAATTTACATCCCAATCACGTTTGACTTGAGAAGAAAAACACATCCCCATTGCCTACCTTTATCTGGACAAAAAGAGGGCCCATTTTCCCCAAGTTTAACGAGCAAAAACTTCAAGAGAACAACAGCAACAAAACTTGGAGAGAATCAAGCTACTTACGTAAAAATCAACTTGCCGCTACATCAGGTAAGCATGTGCTGGTTCCGAATCATAATGTAATGGTGAGTTAAGATGAGTTAATATTGAAAGAGTTATTGTTTAGGGTTTGGGATTTAAGAATTTATGGAGTTGCCTCTAATTAAGACGGAATTTAAGGGTTCTTTAATTATGACATTATCATTCTTAGATTAATTTTCATTTATGTGTAATTTATTTGCTTTTGTTGGTATTTTGTTATTCCGTGGCCACATTTAGGATATCTCAAGGTTTGGGGTTTATAAAATTATACGATTTATGGTCTGTTAATAAGATGAAATTGAAGAGTTTAATTTAAAAATAATTTGCAAAGTAAAAACAACGAGTAATATTTTTGTAGTTGTTAGCAATAAGCCTAATTGATTAGCTTTTAGTAAATCTTATGAGGGTTAATTACATTTTGCAGGAATTATATTTTTTGTTACTTTAATGCCTACTCTAATTGAGTTTGGTTGCTGTTAATGTTTTTACTTTTATAATATGACTTTTATTTTGTAGGAATGGCTTCATCAAGCAATAGCTCAAATATTGAAAATTTGAGCTTTGAGAGCATAAGATGTGGTTGTGGTCAAATAGCTTCAATTATGGTATCTCGAACACAAAAGAACCCCGGAAGGCTTTATTATAATTGTAGTGTGCATGGATGGTTGAAGTGGGTTTTGCCAAATTATGTTGTAGAGAATGAGGTGAACTATAACCCAAGATTTATGCAAGGTGCAAGATCTGAATTTACTGAAGTAAACTATAATCCATGGCTGAGGAGAAATGTAGATGGAGACGTTGGTGCAGCAAGTCATATGATCCAAAGAAATGATGCAAATACGGTGCTCTGTTCTATTTGGAGCTGGCTTGGGCATATTAAGATATTGGTAGCAATAAATCTTGTCTTGTTGGCTGCATACTTGTTTGCCCAACTTATAAACATGTTAAGAAGTTGAAAAAAGTGGCACTGGCTTTCTAGATTTTCACGGCTCATATGTGTTAGCTGATGGAAATGTCTTTTGTGTCTAGTTTAAAATGCTACAAAGATTTGTTGTAAATGTTCTTGGATGAAATGGAACCTCTAGTGTTATTTCAGTGGTATAACGTTTGGTTGTTTCGAGTTGTTTATAGTCTACTTCATTTCATGCAAACAATTAAAATAATTATTCATAACAAAAACTTGGATAATTGTTACTGAGAAGACAAGCATTTGTTGTTTGTGTACATCATCTTAAAGTGTGGAGCTTCATGCTTTGGTAAAACTGCTGTTAATATTACAATACCACTCAGAAGGGCCAATCCAAGTCCTAAACCGTTCACAACTATTGACTCGGTGCAACGTCTCAATACATCTCCTCTGGTTTGCAAGAATGTCAATTTTTCCAGAAGCCCTGTCTCAGCTGTTACCACTGCCAAAACATATTTGGACAATTAGCTTAAGGACTGAAATCCACAAATTCTTCAAACCGAACTTGGTTTCGGAAGAAGGATCGAATCCCAAGTCCTCCAATGTAAAAAGATAGATAATAATTAATGTTTGATTCATTGTATGGTATTCACAGACCTGACTGCAGGCCATACACAAAACTGCCATTGCAGGAGAATCAACATGGTTTAACTGAGTCAGGAAAAATGCAGGGCCAAGAAATCCAATCGTCTGCATTATCTGCACGAAGATCTCAAAACATTAAATTAGTTCAGCCACTGAACTTACAACTAAAAGAGACTAATCTAGCTGCACTCAAGTGCAAATGCCACAGGAAGGCCAAAGCAACTTTGAAAAAGATTGGACCTATCATAACCAGCCTCAGTGGATGTAGCTAAAATAAGTGGTCCAGCATGTACATATCTTCACAATTTAGACTTTGCACACTATGTGATTGTGTTGACAATTTACAATTCGTCATCACCAGCACAAAGTATGCCAAAACCAACGTAATAAATCACAATGAGTTAACCATAAACATTAGTCAGTTCAACTACATGCATAATACTTCACCTTTCTAACAATGGTGACAGATACACCTTTGCTCACCAAAGAATCAGCAATCCACCCACCAACGTTTGCCGAGAAGGCCATGGTAAGCCAAGGCAAGACCGAACACATTCCAGATTCAGTAAGATTAAACTTCAACACCTGTAACAGAATTAAGAAAACAATATCATTTCCAGTCAGTACGATCATATGGTTTATTAAGCTGTTATTAACATGAAAATTGGTGAGTATCGTGAACTTCATTATCTAGAAGAGAATTCTAGACTTACTGTGAGCAGTAATATGAAATCCAAAATTATTTCAAGAAAACAATGACAAAAGAAACCGATACTAGGAGCATCAGCATCATTTCCAAGTGACGCGTGAAGATATCATTATACTTTTAACATGTTAGGCTATGCATGTTTTCATAGTTCAAAAAATAGTACAAACAAGGAGTATGAAAATAATTAAAAAGAAGAAGAAGAAGAAGAAGAATTGAATAGACAAGGGAAAGGAAGTGTAAAGGAACCAATGGTTGAAGGTAGAACTGCATAAACTTTTACTAATTTCAGGATTTAACAAGCAAATCGTCTAGAATGCAGAGCTGCCAATTTACTATCCTTTCAGTTTTTTCTTGTTTAGAGAAAATGTCATATTATACTAACCATCAAAAGCTTAAGCTTACAAATCTAGAGGTCAGGTGAGAAATCAAACTCGTAGAGAACTATATCATGGTAAACTTAGAAGAAGTCCTTAAAGCTCTAGAAGCTATAGTTGAGGAGGCCACAAATGAATGAGGCTGCACCTGGTGATAATATGTAGGCATCCATGTTAGAAGAATAAATGTTCCCCAATTGTGACAGAAGTGAGAAATTATAAGGGCCCACACAGGAGATTTTGACAAAATTAATCTCCAAGGTATAGATTTAACAGGCTCCTTGCATACGCTATTGCTGAGAATCAGCTTCTTTTCATCAAGCCGCAACTCAGGATCCTGAAGAGGCGTACTGTGTGCCTATATCAAGAACACAATTAGGCGTACCGTACTCCATTTCAGCAAAATAACCTGAGTCTCTTCCGCATAACCCTGGCTGGAAAATCATGCAATATGTGACCACTCAGCTGCACTCAACAGTTTGCATAAAATCTAAAATATCTCATACCAAGCACTTGAAAAGAGCTAGTGAAAACAAACAGAGAAACAAGCAAAACTTAGTTCCATTGTGCTATGAATCATCAAAAGAACAAAAAGACCATACACTGGTCACAGAGTTTTATCAGTATCAGCACCACATATGTGCTATGAACCGTCAACAGAACAACAAGACCATAACATGGCCATAAAGTCTAATAAGTACAAGCACAATAGACTGAGAATCCTAATTATCTTCATTTGCAACCATGTCAACAAAAAGCATATATAAACAAAGCCTGAAGGCTAGAACATTGCATATTTAGATTGAGAATTTTTTTCAGAAGTTGCTGGCAATGTTGATGTAGGCCCTGGTTGTGCTGAAGTAGGAATAGATCCTGATATTGACCCTCCATTGTTGTTGCCAGCAACTGATCTTCTTCCAATGACCATAGCAGCAAGATTTTTGCCCAGTAGATTTGAAGCTCTTGAACTCCCAAACATTTCTTCAGGTGTTTGAGATAAAGCAACATGTCTAGTATTGCTTTCTCCCTACAATTTCATGCATGTTTATAGTTAGCAAAATCTACAAATATGAGAATTTGAGTACATGACATTAGAAGTCACCTGAGAGACTTCAATGGGAGGTTGTGTACTTCCAGCAGGTAGAGTAACTGATTCTTGTGTGGGACAATAAGTAGATGTTGGTCTGCTAGTTCCAGTAGATACACGAGGTTCCATTCCACTGGTCTGACCAAGTAACTTCAGTAAGAATGAAAACAAGGTTAGAAAATGCTTAAGATTACAGTCCATGGTACGTAAGAATGTAAGAGTTTGAATAGTGCACTCCACCTTTCTTCTCTTGAAATTGCCTTTTCTATCCCTCTTTGGACCACCTTCACAAGCTCTTTTATTGTGCCCAAATTGTTGACACAAACTACACTTCAGCGTGGATGATCTTTTTCCTTGGCCTACAGCTGGTGCTTCTCCTTGCTCCCTTCTCCGGGCCTTTCTTGGCCTGCCAGCTTTTCTTCTAAGTACTGGTGGTAGTACTTTTGATGGATTCACTTCAATAGGTGGCCAAAACTTTACATCTGAGATTGGATGAATGACTTCATTGTATGCTCTGATGTAAAATTCTTTTGTCTTGCTAAAATCACAATAATTTTCCAAATCTGCTCTCTTGTTAATAAGAACAGCTGTTGCATGCTTGCATGGTATTCCAGACAAGTTCCATACCTTGCAATCACATGTTCTCTCATTGATGTTCACAATGTAAGAAACATTACAATCCTTCACTTGGAATTCGTTACCACTTGCAAGCAGTATAGTGCACTTTCTACATTCATTAGCAAGTACATTAAGTCTGTTTTTCACATTTGAAACCACATTATTCTTATAAAGACAGCCTTTTTCAAATCTTTTTAGCAGCCTACTCATCAACTTAGATCGAATATTGTCCAGCAATGTTAACACATTCTTACCCCTTAGATCTCCTATCCAATGATTGAAAGATTCAGCAATGTTGTTTGTGATGTGATCATTCTTCAAATCTGTGGGGAAAGCATGCCTAGACCACAGGTGATAAGGAATTTTCTCCAGCCACTCGTGGGCTGCAGGTTTTAAATCCTTAATTTTGGCCATAGCCTCCTTAAAGTTTACTTCAGTGTAAGCCCTGGAAGCTTGCCAAAATAATTGCCTAAGCATAACTCCTGGAAAACGGCCTCTAAAATTGCTATATATATGCCTGCAACACTTTCTGTTCACTGCCCATGGTACCTTAGAGTTAATGGCTTCAATCAGTCCCTACAAACGTCAAAAAATACATGTGTTAAAATCCCAAAATCAGTGATTGATTAATTGAATGAGTTGTTAAGATCTTACCTTTTGCCTATCAGTCATGAAAGTCCAAGGCCTATCCCTTGGAAAGTCATCAAGCATTGCAGCTAACCATTCAAAGAAAAACATCCAGCTTTCTTCATTCTCACTCTCAACAATGGCATAAGCAATAGGATACAATCCATTATTTCCATCTAGACCAATTGCAGAAAGTAAAACCCCTCCATACGGCCCTTTCAAGTGACATCCATCAAATCCTATGAAAGGAAGGCAGCCACCAAAAAATCCTTTCTTTAGTGCATCTAACCCCACAAACATTCTTTTAACTGAAGGAACAGCTGATCCCAAAGTCATTTCAAATTGAATCTTAGCTATACTACCAGGATTTGTATTCATAATCATGACACAATACTTTGGCAGCAAGCTATAGCTATCACCATGGCTACCATCAATAATGTCCTGTGCCTTTTGCTTTGCTCTATAAAGCTGCATATCAGTAGGAAAAACACCATACTTAGCCAATTCATGCCTTAATAGCTCAGGTTTAACAGTGGAATCTGCCCTCAATAGGTCAATTATTTTTCTTGCAATCCACTTGGCAGAAGCAACAATTTTTTCACTCATGACACAAGTATGATCAGGTGTGCATGTTTTTACCATATATGTCATCTTATCAGGTGCTGGAGAAGCATGTACTCTCCAATCACAACCTTGATTGCCACAATGCGCCGTAACTCTAGACTTTTCATTTTTATCAAAAATTAGAGGAAAATCCCACTGAATTTTATATTCATATAGCACCCTTCTAAAAGTATCAACATTTGCAAATATCATTCCCTTTAAGAGCCTAAATTTCTCTCCCTCAGGCATGGAAAACTCAGCAATATTTAGGCATGCACCCATTAAATCATCCTCCAAGTCACTGTCGGACTCATTTTCAGCTTCAACTTCATCATTGGACTCATAATTAGACAAGTCTCCACCAGAATCTAACTCATTTTCCAATCCCTCTTGTACAAATGTACTAAATAGTTCATCATCTAAGTCAACACTCATCTCATCATTGTCACTATAAACATATAGCTCATCATCAGTTTCCACTTCATCCTGGATCCCTGCATCAACACCATTCAAAACATTTTCGAATTCCTTTCTTTTACCCAACCTTTTGCTAGTTATAGTATTTTGTCTAGCATTTCCTTCTGCCCAACCTTTTGAATTCTTCTTACCAGCCCTTTTGGTATTGCTACTGTCTGCCCCATGGAAGTTAACACCCACCACTTCAAAGTTCATAGCAATATCAACATTGTTACCATCTATTCCCGTGTTGTTTTCATTATCATTATTAACATTGGCACTAATATTATTAAAATTCAGCCCCATAATATTTCCATTTCCATCAATATTGTTCCCATTACCAGCATTTTCATTCAAGTTCTCTTGAACATCATCACAAACCTGCCTAACATAAACATTGATACGTCCATTCCTCCTATGTAAACCAAACATTTCCAGCACATCCGAATCAGTTTCAATGTTCATTGTTTCCACAGTACCAGGGATATCACAACATAAAGCAATCATGATATTTTGTCGACTAGAAATACGATTCAAAACATTCTCACAAACATCAGATAACAAGTCAATGTAAGAATAGCGATCGGGATCAATATTCCTTAGTTCGAACTTCATGCTTTCACAATGAAGAGTAATGTCGTAGACACTTGCAAGTCCAGCCTAAAACCACGAAAACAACAAAGTTTATCATGTGCTTCATTAACAAATAGCATTAATATGATGAGAAAAAACCGATTTGCATGCAACTAAGTTTGAAGATATGAATCAACGTGGAATCTGACATAACAGGAAATAAATAAAGATTTCCTATTAAACTCTAAATTGTAAAACTATTTTGATAAACGACTAATACAACCTTATTGTGGTTCAAACAACTAAAAATTACATATGTATGTTGCCAATGTAGAAAAAAGTGATATATTAAAAAAATTCACAAAAACTCCAGATTTACATTATTAAATCTGGATTTCTTGTTATTTATGACTACGTTCACCACCCATATAACTATTATACATGCAGTAGCAACCAAAAATGCTGGCAATGTTGTATTGATGCATCACAATCAAAAACCCCTAATTTTGAAGCATATTTGTGTCCTAGAAATCAAACTAAGAAGGATCTAATGTAAATAAATATTAGATCCGTGCATGCAGAACTCATTTTTTTGGTTCAAATAGTATATAATACCCATGCAAGAAATGATCAGTTAAAGATAGTACCATGCTTAGGCCTCCAATAGCTTTCCGAACCTACAACCTTTGTTGTGAAAAATTTCTCCAGCCACAATATGTTGATATGTAGACAACGCACTGTAGTTTTTGAGTTTTATCTTAGTGATTTAAGGATTAAGCAACGATAGAAACATAGGGTTTCATGGAAAGAGAGTTCAAGAAAAGTGAGAGTGCAGTATGATAATCTGATGTTGGGATTGTAGGGGTTGAAATGATAAAGTCGCTATCTGTCTTGTTTCCTGCCTAAAGGGTAAAATTGTAAGTACATATTTCTATTTTTATGTCTTAAAAGTTTGATGGAAATTAATAAGGGTTATTCAGACTTTTGGCTATTTCCGTTACTTATAAGTGACAGAAGTTAGTGTGAGGGGGGAATCTGTTATTTGGTCAAATCTCAGGGATCGATTCGTTATTTGGTCAAATCTCGGGGGAGGTAAATGTAATTAACCCTATATATATATATATATATATATATATATATATATATATATATATATAGAGTGTGAGAGGAGGTTTTCGTATGTATGAGAGATCTTAAATTGGAATTGGAATGGCATTACCAATAGGACTGCCAATGGGGCTGGGCCAGCCCGAGTTCGGCCCGATAAAAAGCCCGATGAGCCCGATCATTTAGTGAGTCGGGTTGAGTTTGAGCCTAAAAATTAGGCCCGAATTAAATGTGAGCCGATCTTGGGCCTTATTAGGCTCAAACTCGATATAGGCCCGGCCCTTTAATTACCTATATATAT